TCTCTGACAAGTCCCTCGTGCACCCGCCTGCTTGCTCCCGACGCCTCCTCTTTAACTCCCTCCTCCTCCCCATGCGGCTGCAAAGAAAAGCCCCCATGCTCAATGCCTCTCAGTCCCAAGTGGGTTCCCCTTTCTAGGCTAAGACCCCAGTCTACCCCTCACTCCACTTCCCACGTAAACGCAGTGTGCATGGGCGCCCTCCGCTTGGGAGGAAGGGATGGGGCCTACGGAAGTCACAGAATGAGGGGCAGAGGTGAGGCAGGACTGGAGGGACTGCACCGGGAGCCCCGACTTCCCAGGGTATCCAGGGATTGCGCTCAGCCCAGGGCCCCACAAGGCCCTCGGTTGGCAACCTGCTCTCTCTCTTCCTCGATCTGGGAGAGAGCAGGGTGCGGAGGCGGTCTCCCCTCAGGAGCCCTATGTAAATCCTAGTGTTGGTTGGGTGGGTGGGTGTGTGGGTGGGGAGGGGGTATAGAAGAAGGGGAAATAAACCTCTTTGGCTGGAGTAGGGTCCGGGTGAGCAGATTTCCTTATCCGGGAATCGCAGGCGGGGCGGCCATTGGCTCCCAGGATCACGTGGGGTCCTAACTTTGTTCACTTGACAGTAAGTAGGAGGGCTTTCGGAAACAGGAAAACGAGTCAGGGGTCGGAATAAATTTTAGTATATTTTGTGGGCAATTCCCAGAAATTAATGGCTATGAGTTCTTTTTTGATCAACTCAAACTATGTCGACCCCAAGTTCCCTCCGTGCGAGGAATATTCACAGAGCGATTATCTACCCAGCGACCACTCGCCGGGGTACTACGCCGGCGGCCAGAGGCGAGAGAGCAGCTTCCAGCCGGAGGCGGGCTTCGGGCGGCGCGCGGCGTGCACCGTGCAGCGCTACGCGGCCTGCCGGGACCCCGGGCCCCCGCCGCCTCCGCCACCACCCCCGCCGCCCCCGCCACCACCCGGGCTGTCCCCTCGGGCTCCTGCGCCGCCACCCTCTGGGGCTCTCCTCCCGGAGCCCGGCCAGCGCTGCGAGGCGGTCAACAGCAGCCCCCCGCCGCCTCCCTGCGCCCAGAACACCCTGCACCCCAGCCCGTCCCACTCCGCGTGCAAAGAGCCCGTCGTCTACCCCTGGATGCGCAAAGTTCACGTGAGCACGGGTGAGTGCGTGGGCACCCCTTCCCCCTCCCACCCCTGGCGCTTCACACCAAAGGGACCTCGGAGGCATGGGGGGGGGGCGGGGGAAAGCTGGGGAAGCCAATTGTCCCCGCTATAAACTCGCCATTGCCGAGATTTACGGTCGCCTGTTTTCAGAGCCACATAATTACATCCCCCATAAATTTTTATGGCCTGGTGGGCCCTGCGCCTTTGAAGTCGGTTCCCCATCCTCTTTGCCATTCTCACCAGCGACTTTTTCACCAGGGACATGTAGTCTCAGTGAAGTTGGAAGTTGGGGAGGGGAGTGGGAGGTTGGGGAGAAGCAGGAGAAGGTAATCTGTATTTAAGCAGAGTTGAATCAACTCCCACTATTTATTTATTTTTTTCTCTTTCTTTCCTCTAGCCTGGCTCCTTGGCTCAAGAAGTGGGCAAAAGTTTTTATTGAGGGCAGGCACTGCTTGGAACCTGAGCAGAGAGGGTGGGAACTAACAGAAGAAAGGTTTAGGGAAACCCCCCACCCCTTTCCCTCCTCATTCTCCCATCCCAGGCCTCAGGCCAACGCGGGAGAGGAACGATTAAACCTAGTGAAGATCCCTCATTCCACCCCCCACCCCCACCCAAAGAACATCGAGATAACCATCCAAAACTTTGAGGTCTTTTTTTCTTCCTGCGGTCTTGCTTTCTTTCTTTTTCGTCCCCCCCACCCCCACCCCGCCACAGAGTTAGAAGAGGTGGTGGGAGAGGGAGGGAGGGAGGGAGATACTGTGTTAGCTGGAAGAAAGGGCTCTCCCTCCTCCCTTTCGGGGCAATAAAACTTTCTCTTTCTCCTTCTCTCTGTGTGTGTCCAGTAAATCCCAATTACGCCGGCGGGGAGCCCAAGCGCTCTCGGACCGCCTACACTCGCCAGCAAGTCTTGGAGCTGGAGAAGGAATTTCACTACAACCGCTACCTGACACGGCGCAGGAGGGTGGAGATCGCCCACGCGCTCTGCCTCTCTGAGCGCCAGATCAAGATCTGGTTCCAGAACCGGCGTATGAAGTGGAAAAAAGACCACAAGTTGCCCAACACCAAGATCCGCTCGGGTGGCACCGCAGGCGCAGCAGGAGGGACCCCAGGCCGGCCCAACGGAGGTCCCCCCACACTCTAGTGGCCCCCGCCCGGGAACCATGAACCTGGGGCGGGGGAGGATGGCGAGCGCCGAGAATAGGGGGGAAGAGAGGCGGGAGGAGACCCTGGGGCCTAGGCCGGGAAGCCTTCCTGCCCCCCCTTTATCTACTTACTCGAATAAACGCAGAGAAGGGGGAGGGGAAGCTTTATTTATATTAACGACAATAGGGAGCCGGGCGAGGCCCCCCAGAAGCAAAGCGCAAGTCTCTTGCTTTATTTCTTTAAAAAAAAAAAAGAAGAAGAAGAAGGAGGAGGAGGAGGAAGAAAGAAAAGACAGAAAGAGAAATAGGAGGAGGCTACACTCCTCGTTTTCAGCTTTGGCGAAGATGGATCCACGTTTCATCTTTAATCACGCCAGGCCCAGGCCCATCTGTCTTGTTTACTCTGCCGAGGAGAGGAGAGGACGGGCCTCGGTGGCGACCATTTACCTCGACACTTGGCTAACAAATGAGGCCCGGCCCGCCGCCGCTGCCTCTGCTGCTGCCGCTGCTGGAAGACAGCCTGGATTTTCTTTCTTTGTCCCCCATTCCTGACACCCAGCGAAAGCACCCTCTGATTGCCAGATAGCGCAGTGTTTTGGCCACGGTAACAAACACACACATACAGCCTCCTCCCCTCCATGCCCCTTCGCGGTGACACTGACTGCTCACCCCCTTCCACTGAGGGGCTGGGATGGGGGGCAGCAGGAAGGGGACTAATGGAGGCGCAGGCGGCCTTGGCAACGCAGGATCCGGCAGGGAAATTGAGTCCAAGAAAAAAAGAGAGGCCCCGAGACCCAGGAGGGCCTTCCTCTGGAAGGTCACACTATTCCTGGCAGGGTGAGCGGCCGGTTGAGTTTCGAGAGCTGGGCACAGCCAATCTTGAGTTGTACAGAGGTGACCTGCTCTCCTAGACTGAAATTGAATGTGAAACTAGGAAATAAGATGTTGCGCCTCTCCCAGACTGGGAGATGATGTTACAGAGACCTCTCTCATAGTTTATCATTGTTGCATTGATTATTATTATTATTATATTATTATTATTATTAATTATTATTTTATGTCATGTGTGTTCTCTCTCCTATTCTCTTCCTGACATTCCAAACTAGGCCCCCTTCCTAGTTCTGGGGCTGCCTGAGTCTAGAACCCTTCGTTGGAGTGAAAATTTGTGTCCTGTACAGAGTGACAATAGAAATAAATGTTTGGTTTCTTGTGACCAGCAAAGCGTGTTTTTGTTAAAGCCTTGATCTAAAGATACAGACAAATGCCACCTAGCCTCTATTTTAAGCACCCCAGTCCATTCGGACTCACATTGTATGTGGTTGAGGATTTTTTTCCCCAAAGGGTCTGATGGGAATTTCTATCTCTGAGGACTCCAAAATTGTGGTAGCTGGTTTGTTTTCCTTTTGGGGTGAGTGTGTTCTGTTTGGGGCTTTACATTTTCCCCCTCCAGTCCAAAATATGGATGGAAAGGACTTGGAGGGCTGACTCCAATCCCTAATGGGGGAAAAATGTTTCGTTGTAGGACACAAGAGGCTTAAGTACGGCAAAGCCTTTCATATCATGATTTATTTGTCATAAGCAAATAAAATGCAGTTAAGCTGTCTCCTTCTAGACAGACGGCTCTTTGCTTATTAAAGTTCCGAGAGAGGATTCCGCGAGGCCGGCCTCTTTTCTCCCGCGTAAGAAGGTATCGTTTTCCTCTGAGGTGTTTAAGGCTTTAATGAGTCTAATTTTTTGCACAGATGTTTCTGGGTGTTTGCAGGTTTTCAGAGTATTTTTATATTACAAAGGAGCTAGCCGGTGCCATAGCTCAAACTCTGACAAGCAAATAGATAATCAAGAAGACAAATGGCCTCTTTTGTGAAGCCCTGCTCCTGTATTAATTTTCATTTTCTTTCTCATAGAAAGTATCGAAAGTACGACTGGGGACCAAATAGCTTTCTGTCTCCGAGGTCCCAGTCACCCCTAGAATGGAGTGGGGGAAGGGGTGCGGGTGACCCTCGGAAGTTCTGTTAAGCTTGGGCCTATTTTGTGCAGCACCCAAGAGAAGTTCTAAGGTCTGGGGGCTCCAGCCTGAGGTCTCTGGTTCTGTGGTGGCCCAGGGTACAGCCACCTGCCTCCAGAGAGCTCAGGGCTCTGGAGAGCATATTCAATTAAAAGTTGTTTTTTGTTTATTTTTGGTCCCATCTCCCTTCAGAAAATAAAAAAAGCCAATTTCACCCATACATTTTATTGTTATTTCTTTACTGTATTCCCCCTGTTTGCAGCACCCGGGAGTCTGAGGCTGGGTAGGGCCAAGGGACAGACATACGGGGCTAATGTCCCTAGTACAGAGAAAGGGTTGAATTCCCAGTTTAATACTGCAGGGAGACTAAAAAAATCTGCCAGACCTGGAAGATGAGAACGGCCAGCTTTGTTTCGGTCAATTGCGGTGTGATGTTTAGCTGCCAGGGGATGCGACACCCTTAGCAGAGGGAGAAAATAGTTCTTAAAAGGAATATGCCACCCCCCATGCCTCTATAGAACCAAATCAAAGCTACTCCTTGGAAGGTATGAATAGAATAAAAAAAGACTTCTATGGAGCTTAAAGTTCACAGCCATTCTGTGTAGACAAGAGCTAAGAAAAATGTGAGAATTATACAGAAAACCATTAATCACTTCTTTTCTTTAAATACGTATCCTCTCTCCTTTGTTATTATTCAACAGCAAATCTCCGCAGACCGGCTGTTGGGGGGAAAAAGTGTTAGCCGTCTCTCCCAGATCTGCAAGGGGGAAAATTTTTGGAACCGTAAAGTTGAAAACTTTTTTCTCTCAGTTTGGAAGAAGCCCTTCATCATGAATGGGATGCGAGGAGTTCGGGCGAGAGGAGGCGAGAGGCACAAAGGTAACAAAGCCCCGGCCTGGGCTGGCATTTTTTAAAAAAAAATCGTTTTATGAGGTTTTTTTTTTGTGTTTTTTTTTTAACAAGGGAAAGAAGAAACCCCTATCTTGGCAGGGTTTTTATGGTGGACGCTTGGTCAGGTTTGGGGCCTTTTATGATGACTGATGCTTGGACCAGAGAGAAAGAGAGAGGCCTGACACCTGGCTAGTGTTTGAACTGCTGGGGACTGAGGTGTTAGGGCCCCTGAAGGACTCCAGAGAAGGTTGTTTGTGAGGCAGCGCAGAAGTGTTTGCCTGGTTTTGGAAAATGCAGGTGGACCTGTGGAGCCCTAGCATGTGTGCATGTGTGTGTGTGTGTGTGTAGCGGGGTGCACATGTGGCCAGTGGTTCTGTGACTCTGTTTGTCTACACTGGGGGCTTGTGTCCCATATATCTGTTTACTGGTGAGATGTTGTCACTGCTGGCTCCTGGAAAAATGGAATGCATTTCTTGGATGGAATGCCCCAGCCTGGGAGCAGGGATTAGGTGGACATCTTTTTTTTTTTTTTTTTTTTTTAATTTTTGTGTCAATCTTGGGATTCTAGACAAATAATCACAATTCTCTGGAGCAGGAAACTGCTCTGTTCATAGACAAAGTTCCTTGATGCAGGAATCTTCCTCTTCAGTTCTGTCCCCTCTCCCCTCTTCCTGGATGCTCAGTGTTCTGTGGTTTGGTTTCCTTTTGCTCTCTTGGTTAGGGGGCTCTTCCTGCCCCCACCTGGGGCCCTACTTCTAAGGGTGAGTGAGCCAGTGGGCTCTGCCTCAGACCTAACTGTGCCGGCCCTTTTTCCCTGGGGCTCACTGAGAGTTTGGACGCAGGAGGTTGGCAGGAGAGAGAGTTCATGGAAAGGCCACGTTTTCTAGGCGATTAGCTCAGTATTAGAACCACAAAATGACCTCGGAAGCCCCTTGACCTCTCTGAGACTGGACATTGTGCTGGCTCCTGCGTCCTGCCTGGGAGGGAAAGTCACACCTCCACTGGGAGCGGTCCTTGAGCTGTTGTGTGCCCGTGTCCAACCCCCTCCAGCTCCAGCCCCTTCTTTGATATTTTGGAACTTCTGGATTATTTTTCTGTTACCGTCTATCGGGAAGAAAAGGAATAAAATTGTTAGCTTGGGGAAGGAAGAGGGTGCTGGTCTGTCTCTCTCTGCAGAGCTGCTTCCCTCAGCCAGGCTCCAACCACTACTCCAAAGTCCAATTTATCCCTTCTTCTTTCCTGTTTCGCTTAGAAGAAGCTGAGGGAAGAGACAAAGGGGAGTGGTAGGAGAGGTCCACAAGGCTTCAGAGGGCTGGGGGATCAAGCTTCTGGGCCCTAAGGAAAGAGAGGGCTCCCCACTCGAACAGCCCTTTGGGGGTTACTGTGTCTCAGACTGATATCCAAATCCACAGCCCCTCAACCCATTTTTTCTAAAGTTCCTTTGTTTATGAAGCTATTCCTATCATCACTTTCACCCCCTTCCTCTGGTCCCCAGTCTCACCTCAGCTACTCACAGAAGCCCTGGAATACCTCTCCACTAAAGGAGCAGGAAAGATGGGAGAAGGGTCAGTGCGGACTCTTCTGACCATTTCCAGGAAGAGCTCAGCTATGTTAATCAAAGTGTCCAGCAACTTTTAATTTTCAGAGATGGAGGGAGGTTTTCTAAGATGTGAACTCTGAACACAGGGCCTTTTCAAATCCGTATTCTGCTTGCTGTATCTTAAAATCCACACTAGTAGCCAACCTCTCAGGAGGAGAGAGACAGACAGAGAGGAAGAGATAGAGATTCCAGGTGGGAAGAAAAAAATGCTCCTTTTGGGTTAAGACTAGGAGATACAGAACCTTGCTGGAATGTATTTGGTATTGGTTTATATTTTGCAAATTGTCTATTATAACTTGAGGACTTGGTCTCAGGCAAGACATAACTGGAGTTGGTTGGTATCATTCTCTGTCCCTGGGTGGCATAATAAATGCAGAGGATGGAGGCCTTGGGAAGAAAAGGGAGTGAACAGAAAGGTGAATTGGGCTGCTTCTGGACTGAAAATATTTGGGGCTCCAGGGAGATGTGCACCCATTACTCATAAAGTTAGATAACCAATTGTGGGAGCTCTTTGGGCTCAGGAAATAAAGAGTTAGTCACCTAGGACTTTACAGTCTTCTCTCTGGCAATTTCAAGACTAGGGGTTCACCAATGGGAAGAAGGAGGAAAACAGTGGAAATGGAAAGTTAGGGTTCATTCCAGGATTTCAGTCCTACAGGTGGGAACTTGGAGAGCTCCCTTTCCCTCACTCCCAGACCCCAACCCTTGCAGAGCTTAACACTGCCTAAGACTCTCCAGCCCTTTGGGCTCACCTTCTACAATTCTAGTGACTACCTCTAGTCCTCCTCATCTTTGACCTCCCTTCCCTCCAGGTCCCTGGTCCTCCCCATCTCTCTCCTACTTCCACTGCCTGGACAGACTGGGCAGCCCCAGCGCCCCATGGTGGCTCCCTGGGAAGTGGTCAGGGAACGGGTTCTGGTTGGAAAACGAAGTGGGGAAGTTTCCCAGCGTGAGTTGAGCGCTGACGGATTTGTGATCAGCCATAAAACCGGCGTGTTCAGATTCGTAAATCAATCTCGCCTTTCTCACAGTATAAACGTTCGCTTTATCGGCAGCAAGAAAGCACTCAGCTCATGCTTGGCGCTTGTTTATTTGAACACGGACATTCCCAGGATTCGAAGAGTGTGGGCATTTTAACAGAACCTGTCCTGCATGCCTTCATGTCAGTTTGCTGTTCCTTTCCTTGTCTTTAGAAAGATTTTCTCCATTTCAGGGATTGCCACCTTCCCATGCTCCAGCATATTATATCTTCTCTCTTGCTCACTCACATTTTTCTTTTAAACTTTAGTGGAGAGTTTTCTTTGGGGGACCATTTTAATGGATTTGTGGTCAGGACCTTGCAGGGAATTGCTGGAGCCGGGCTCAGGACCCACGTCCGGAACAGGCTGAATTCAATACCAGTCTGTGTTTTGTGTCTGGACAATCAAAGCTGACCACCCCGCTACAGAGTCTGAACCCTGCCGGTGCCCCACCAGTACATTGGGAGCAAAATTCCAAGATTCCGAGGAGAGGCCAAGCCAGCCCAGTGACTTCTGCAGGAGCCACGGATGCCGCCACAGCTCGACCCTACTGAGACCCATACGGGGGAATAGCTGTTTCTTTGGGGGTTGCTAAACCATCTGCATCCTCAGCCTTCTCCCCATTGAGTTGCTTTTGGTTCAGAACCCTCCAAACAAATGGACAAGCCCCAAGCTTCCCTACTCTAAACCACATGTGTTCTTCCCCTGTTTTCCCTGCCCGGCTGCCCCCAGAACTGCTGAAGATAATACTGGGATGTGCAGTGAGGGGCTCCTTCAGGAATGTCTTTTCCGCTTCCCTTTGCACCCCCACCCCACCCCAGAGCCAAAAATTCTGATTCTGGTTGTAATTGGTCTGCTCATTCTGGGGGTGAGCTGTATGTGAAGGTTTGGGTGGGGATGTTTTGTTTTGTTTATATCTGAGATGGAGGTATCTGTGTACATGTCTCTTTCTAGGCCTAGGGAATGGATTTCTCCTACATTCCCGCTGTTCATCTCTTTAATATGCAACACCCCCTCATCTTTTTCCTATTGATCAGTCTCCATTTGTCTGTGGATTGGAAGCTCAGGGTACTAACACCTGGGAAATAGGGACCCGGGGCTGCCAGGCTGACTTCAAAGCCTCTTTCTTCCTTTTCCCTGCCCCCCTCCAGTTCAAATCTCCAGCTGTCTTCACTGGAGTCGGGAGCAAGGGGACAGAGACAGGGTGTGACATAGGTAGAGAGAGGCTGAGAGTCCACTTCTTTTGTGTAGAAATCTTAGTCCAGGTCTTTGTCTCTAGACATATTGTCAGTCAGTCAGAATTTTGTTCCCTATAATAGTAACACCACAAACGAAAGAAGTCCCTGTTGTGGTTATTCTCAACTCTGGAAGTCCCAGAGTCGCCTGTTCACCCTGTCCCTTTTTTGCCCCTTCAAAAGGTACCACAAAAGATCAAAAAGAGAATGAAAGCCAGAGCCCCACTCTTTATACATATATAATGTAGACTTATGAAGTGTTTCTTTTGAAGCTGGTCCCTTTAGAAATTTTGTTGATTGTTTAGGAACAGGGGGAGTGGGTCCCACTAAAATCAGTATCTTAGGAGTGAAGGAGAGAACGGAATTGGGGAAATCTTAATCTTAAGGGATGCAGGGAGTAGAATTGGAAGCTGAGAAATCCAGGGGCTTGGAGAAGGGCTCGGCGCCCACCCCACCCCCACCCCAGACGCCCCTGCAGACTATTTCTGCACCTTCACAAACTAAGCAGAAGCAGGAGGAGAAGAGAGAGAGGAGAGGTGGGCTGTAGGTAAGTGTGTGTCAGGGGTGGGGGTGGTTAGGGAGCTGTAGATATAGTAGGTATAGATGTGAATCTGGAAGAGAGAAGGAGAACTCCATACTATTACATTGGTGGGTTGAGGGGAACCTATTTTGCAGGAAAATTTCTCCTCTTGAAGGGGAAGGTCATAGTGGTCCTTTGAGTCTGAAATCGAAAGACCCCCTTCCCCCTCCTGGTCACGTGATTCATTAAATAATTAATGCCGAGGTTGCAGAATAGATATGTATTCGTCAGGAAAATCGCAGGCTTGGTCTCCCTGTTTCTGACGTGCAATTCAACTGTCCTTTGAAAAACAAGCCTGTACCCTGAGAAAAAAAAGAGAGAGGGGGAGAGAGGGAGAGAGAGAGAAAAAGAGAGGGAGGCAGCAATAAAACAGCCCCGCAGCCGGAGCCACACCGCGGGCTGGGGTATTGTAAGTAGAAGGGATTTCTCACTACCTACCGCGTCTTATATGTCCATGTAAATTTATTGTTTGTTATTAATGTTATTGTCGTAAACTGTGACAAATAGCCATCTTCATTTCCTGCCATTTCTCTTCACACGGTGCTCTGTGTGTT